TTAGTTATTCATTAAAATGTACCTCTATTTGCAGACTTGCTATTACGTGTGACAACTTTAAGTCTGCTTGGAGGAGGATATTGAGGGTGAAGTACTTCAATCACTTCTTTAAATTGCTTACTTGAAACTATGCTGAAGGCCTTGTTAGCAAAAAAAGAAGGCTGTGAGTCTCTTATCAAGTTCAAGCCTGCCTTTTAATCACTTAAGGCAGAACAGATTGATCATCCCCATTTTGGGGAATGGGATTCAAAGATAAACAGATCTCTAGAAAAGAAACTGATGCTGAAGAGCTGCTAGTAGACTCAGAACAAGGGCTTAAAGTCACCACCACTACATTTCAATGACAATGCCAAAAAGCAGTTATCTCCCTTGAAGAAACAAATTTAGCTTTCTGTTCTACTTCAAAAGATGCATTTAGTCTCTGTAAATCCAAAACACAGATTTTAACACTTTCTGAGATGAGCAAGAAACCTGTCTTGCTAACTCTCCACTGTTTTGTTCATTTTAAAAAATCTATCTTTTAAAAAAAAATGACAATATCATTTGGTCACTTCTCTCTTACTATTTCCTTTTCATTTTAAGCTGTCACAGCTTTAACTGAGCACTCCCCTTCCTCTGGGCTGCCAAGGCAGCTGAACTGGACCTGGATTTCAGACCCCAAAAGATTTTAAGCTTGGGGATTTTAGCAGCATCCAGAAACTGTCTTATATCTGGACTGCTGCAAACACTCATTACCACTCATCCTCTTCCTGAAGGAATGGGATGCTTGCTACTGCCCATGGCCACCAGCCTTCCACAGACACTATCCTATGTGATGTCACTCATATATCACTTCTTAAAGTCTTCCCACAAGTTCAATGATCTCTCTCAGGTTCCACCTCAAACTTAGTTTCCAGACAAGTATGAGAGCTAAAGCAAATGAAGGATTCCCAATGAAGCCTGTGTTACATTTAAAACAACAACAACAACAAAAAACACGTTACTTGAAAGATAGTTGAAAGCCTCTACAACAGTAATCAACATCCAAAGGCAAAATTTCTTACCCTGGTTTCCTCGTGCTGTGAGTCCTTACACCTGGAAGACCATCCACCCACTCCTTCACCCTTTCTGCCCATTATTCCTAAAAATGAGTGACCTCTCTTAGATTCCGTAAGGACAGATATCTGAAACTAGAACTAGTTCTAACATCCTCTCTGAGATGGGACATCTTTGAAGTACCATCAGGTGAGCAGTGCTTAAGAGGAGTCCTGTCACTCTAAAAGCATCTGAGAAAAACTGTTATCCTCTGCTACAACCAGCCTCCTGGGGTGAAATCATCCAAATAGAGACCCATCAAGGTGAAGACTTTTTGACATCTCTGTCACCGTTAAGATGAAATCCTTACAGCTAGCAAAGGAGCAAACGTAATGCAGTGGCCAAGCATCCCTAAGCATCGAATTTGCACCCGAGAGCCATGGTGCACAAAGTGCAAAATACAGCTTACTGTGAGGCTCTTCTTTGGAAATTCCCATAAAACACTGAATACATTTCACAGACATCCTCAATCAAACATACAGAGATGTTCAGTCATCCATTTCCACTACTGAGCAGTGTGAGTAACTACATTAGCAACTTAAAATGAGGCAGGAATACCCACATGCACCTAGTTATTAAGTTGCTGGTTGCATTTTCAGTTTTGGGCCAGACTGCCATACAAAGGATGTCAAAGCTCTGTGCAGTGCATACACCCTGCAGAGCCCTTTCCACTCACATCTCAACCCTGCTCCTGCCCTCAACATCCCTAACAGCTCTAGAAGCCAGTCAGTCACCCCTTCTATTCGGAGTGACTACATTCACCTGACATCCTCTCTAAGCTTCGAGGCATTCTGCAGTGCTTTTGTTTTCTAACTACTGCTTTCAGAAATGTGCCTCTCATTTAAATATTGCTTTAATATTAAGGCCCTTTTCAAACAACTAACATGAAATTGATTTAGAGTCAATTTGGGGAAAAAAGGGAGAAGGAAATACCTGTTTTTCAAAATATTACTCTAGACAAGTAGATAGTGAATAAAAATTAAAACATAACTCCTCATTAAAGTGAAAAGAGAAGCACAAACGAGAAGCTGAACCACTTGTGGTAGGATTACAGGCAAAGGAAATGACAACTTTGGTCAGAACGTTCCAAATCCAAGCACCGGTTTTCTCTGTACTGCTGTAACACTAGATGGTAACTTGGATAGGCAATTTTCCACAAGTCTATTACAAAACAGTGTACAGGCTCAACATTGCACCGACATGTTAGAGGTTATTAACATCTCCTGGCAACAAAAGCTCTCCTCAGACAGAGCCAACCAAGGGCCTTCGCAGAAAACTTGACCCATCACCTCTCTGTTGCAGATATTACAACAATGTTTTCATGACAAAATTCACAGCATAATTCCAATGCAAGTTTCCAGCCAGAAAATACTGTCTAAGGAAGCAAATAGAAACTACTGGTTAACAGAGTGTTTAAACTGGTCATCGTGCACTTGTCCAAAGCTTAACTGACTATCAGGTTGGCTTGTTTGAGAGCATTTGGAAAGAAGAGAGAATGGCAAAAAATTGTGCCTTATTTCCCAAACTCACCATACAGGAGGAAAACAAACAAATAAAAAAAGAAAGAAAGAAAAATAAGGAAAAGCCAAACAACAACAACAACAATAACAAAAAAAGGACTTCTTATCCTCTTTCTCCCAATACCCCAAACTGAAAGATGTCTTTCTTGGGTCTCTTTGAGAAGACTGAATTCACTGACACTTGTCAGTATTTTTTTTCTCCTGAACGGCCACTAACCAGTCCAGGGCATATTCTCTCTATTGCCACAACAATACCACAGTTGTCCTCGGCAGGTTTCCAAACAAAAAATGCAGGAGCTCACCTGCCCTGCACACAGGATGGAAAGCTTCATTTTAAGAACTCCTACTTCACTGTACAAGAAAGGTGAAACCTGGTAACTGAAAGAATCTTCTTTCCATGAAGTGAAAGAATCCTTCCCTCTATCTTCAATAATTTACAAACTGGCCTACCTCTCTTGAAAGCATAACACTTATCCAATTCTTCCTACAAAAAACATCTGCATCTTTAAATTGCCAAAGTAATAGTTTTGACATACTCAGCTGAGTCTGCCATATGGAGCAAGTTTCCTCTCCATCAGCACTCCAAGCTACTGTTTTGAGGATCAGAACAGTTGGTTCCCCAGATAAGGCTGCTCCTTCCTGGAAATGGGATAGAGAGCTGCCTTATCTCAGGGAAAGGGAAGAAAGAAGGTCACTCTTCATTACATGGCAAAATTCTCACCTTGAGAGCTTTTCCCCTTGATTGGCCTGGAACAGTCAAGGTCATGGAACTTTTAATCAGCCACCGGCATAATTACTAAATCGTTATTAATTATATCAGAGAGCTGAGACCTCGGAGGAAAGGCAAAGCAAACAAAGAACCCGAAGAAGCCTCCCCTGTTGTTGGAAAAAATTGGTAATTAAAAGTCATGAGTGCACTGAAGAGAGAGGGAACAGCATCACAGCCAGTGTTCAGCTTTCATGAATGACTGGAATACAAAATAGGAGGCCTGCCTCTCCAGGGAAATTACAGGGTGCTGCTTTACAAAGCATCGAGTGAGGAGAAGAGAGGGGAAAAAAATAGACAGAAAGAAAGCAACACTCCTGCTTGGTTTGTACCTTTATTTGTCCCACAAAGAGGATTTTGGACAGGGACAGCAATGCCAGCCAGTCTCATGGGTGCCTTCCACATGTTTCTGGCAGCTCCAGAGAGCCTTCTCCTGGCCTTGGATCAAGAAGAATTCCTATACTGAAAAGTGTATGAGAGAATGAGGCCTCATATTGAAGGCAATTCAGCCTACATAGAGCCCTTGTCTGTGACTCCAGCTAAAACCTATTCCAATGAAAATACTTTATCTCAATGACCTGAGCTCAGCCTCAGTGCCCACCCTTTTTCTAGGGCAGGCTCTTAATGGCCTCATCATCAAAAACTGAAGAACTTTAATTGCCATTAAGAAAACTCAAAGGAGAAAATGCCATGGCCCTGCTCACACTGAAACAAATCACTCTAGGCAGGCACAATGCCCACTGAAACCAAGGCAAGTGCTTTTGCTTACAAGTCTATGAGAAAAAACAATGCTGACAACTACAAGCCATTTCAGGGAAATCAAACATGGCATGGGTTGAAAACAGGCACCATGCTACCTGCTACCATTTTCAGGCAACCACAAGAATTGCCCTGACCTGCTATATAGGCAGTCTTATGGACCAAATATTAAGCAAAAGTGTACGAAAGAAATGGCAAAACTGGACTGGGCTCCTGAACAGATTACTTTGAATAGACCATAGTGAGAAGAAGAGACACTCTCATGCACTTAGGCCTCCCAGTACAGGCACCATGCTACCTGCTACCATTTTCAGGCAACCACAAGAATTGCCCTGACCTGCTATATAGGCAGTCTTATGGACCAAATATTAAGCAAAAGTGTACGAAAGAAATGGCAAAACTGGACTGGGCTCCTGAACAGATTACTTTGAATAGACCATAGTGAGAAGAAGAGACACTCTCATGCACTTAGGCCTCCCAGTGTACAAAAAAAGCACAAAACACAAAAAGCCTTAAGACAAACCACTCTGTGAGCCCCAGACATCAAAACAGAGAGACATTTTCTGCTCAACTTCTTCAAGTGCCATGACTTGAAAAGACACATCTTCAAGATACCATAAATAAAGTCTCCCACTTAAAACGCAAAAAAGAAGGATGCGAGTATAACTATGGCTGAAATATTACTGCGATCTATGAGAGCCCGCCACCGAATTAAAAGTTTACTTGATCACGTATTGTCAAAGTTAAACATAATCAAGTAGCTGCTGTTAGGAAGAGATTGTTCGCTATTATTTCTATTTGCAGCAGCCTTGTCACACCACTCTGCTTCCCACTACCAGCTGCTCGGAGCCGGCTCCCGCCCCAGCGCGACGGCAGCAGACCTGGTGAAGATATCATCCGGCTGGATCAGGGGCACCGAGTACGTCTGCCCTTCCAGGAAGCGCTTCTGGGCCACTGTAGCCATCCTGCCTAAAAGAAAGAGCAAATAGGTCATTACAACAAACACACTTCCAGTTTATTACAGCGTTTACCTACAGACTTTAACCTTCTGCTCCCCACATTATTTTGGAAAAGTATTTGCAATGGAATCAGGAAGGTTATAGGTAGAAACGAGCAGTAAAGTTAACATACTGGATTTTCTAGAAACTTCAGGCAGCTACAGAGAGGTGAAAGTTTTGCTTACATGAATGCTCTTGGGAAACAAAGCAGCATGATACTTAAATCTCAGCTCGGTGTCACGCTGAAAACAAAGACGACACTTTGGAATAAAGTTAGTTCAAGATGGTGATAAAACTCTTCGGAGATCACGCTGTCCCTTCTTCCATCCTCATACTCTAGATGGATACATTTCAGGTCATTCAACAGTGAAACACGACATCCTGTTTCACACTTTTGCTCTAAGAACAACCACTTCTCCCTTCCAAGAAGGGCAGCTGTGACATTAGAGGGCACGCATGCACACATACATGTCCTTACTCCAAGTAGGTTAATGAGGGTTACTCCATTCTAGCAGTCCACTCTCAGACTCCCAGGAGCTGCTCATTTCTTCTGGTGACTGGATTTTTCCCCCAGCAACTATCTTGACAGAAACCTCATTTTAGGATCTTTTCACATACAAAACTTGAAGGATAACTGCAATCTTTCAGTTGTACTCAGCATGTGAACTGGAACCACATATGGACTCCTAGATGCAGGTGGATATATGACACTATTCCTCCCACCCCAGTCAGGCCAAGGTTGGGCATCATTCATGTTTCAGCCAGCCAGTTCTGCTCACCTATCCCTCAGCTGTTCCCATAGAGCCTGCCGTCCTTGCATTTATTTTGCTCGTAGTAATAACAGCAAAACTTCACACACACAGAGAAGGGAAGAGAGAAGAAATCAATAGCACTGAGTCTGTTCAAAATTGTGCACTCATGAATGTGTTCCTGCTAGGAGAGCCTGATCTAACGACCACAGCAGAGTGTCCACAGAGTTTTCCAACCACAACTCTGCCATTAAGCCCACACAACTCCCTCCCAACCCCACATTGCAAAAAGAATCAGTGACAACTGCTCATTACAGGGTTTCACCAAGCTGGCTGCTAAATATCAGTATAAGGACATCCCAGGCTGAAAAAAAGCACACTAAGCAGGATCAGAAAGCTACTGTAGCTGGAGAGACACCTCGGGATACAGCACATGGCCTCTGCTGGCATTCAGAGGTTCACAGGATCTACCCCAGGGAGCGCCCTGCATGCAAGGGGCTCCCCAGGTGCTCAGACCCTTGTTAATAAGGGAGCAGTGCTCCCCGCCGCAGAGCTTGCTGCTAGGACTGCAGAAACACGTCTGTACTGCAGAAAGTCACATAGCAGCACTCTGAAGAGGTAACTATGGCACAACACAACAGTTTAAGAGGTGAAGATTATACAGATTACAAAGTCTTTGCACGTTCTTTACATTCCCTATCCTGCTTTGCAAAAAAACACAAGTATGGCCTGCAGCCATTCCTGCATGTTCAATAACAACATTCGGCCACTCTGAATTTGTCCTTTCTGATCTGCTTTTCCTACCACAGCAGATTAGGAAAGATGTTGTGTAAATGAACTGCGTAGGTGTTTCCTACTTTTGGAAATGAGTCATATGAGGGGGAAAGGGAGGAGAGGAAACCTAGAAGCCTTTCCACAGGTAAGAGACTTACTCAGGAAAACAAGCCCAGCCAACAGAAGACCTGGCACTGCTGTAGGAGAGCCAGACCCTGTTCTGATTCGCTTCATGCATCACTGGCAGCCAAGGTCTGGGTCCATAGTCTTTCATGGTGGTGTTTGCACATTATTAGATTTCTTGATTGCAAGTATTCAGCAGACAGAAAGTATGCATCTGAGAATGCTATAGAAAGTAAAGCATCTGAGAAGGAATACATCTAATTCTGAGACTGCATTTTTTGATCTGCTGACCATAACCTAGCTTGAACCCTGTTGCTTGACAGAGTGGAGCAAAGCAACAGGCTGACTCACTGCGCGTGCGGATACAGGAGGCTTCGGCTTCCACAGCAGAGCCAGCTCACGATCCTCATGGCACAGGTCGCAACCCTGCTGGTGCAGCAATACAGCTGGTCTTCAGGATGCCTGTTTTTAACTCAGATCCTTCTGAGGACTTAGTGACCTGATTTATCACAGCTGCATAAACATCTGTAACTGCCCAGCCGTGAAACGGAGTGGGAAGAAAGGGTAAGAAGAACAGGACACGTTAAACTACCTTCGCCAGCAAAATCATTGTAATCTGGCTCATGGCATGAGAAGGCCATGAGAGGCTTTTTCCTCTCGAGGCCAAATGAGGATGATGCAGGGCCAGTATCGTCTCCCACATTCCCACCAACCAGCTCTGTGACTTTTCTTAAACAAACCTCAGGCCAGCAGCCAACTGACAGGTGCTCACACCCCGAAACAGCACTGCCCTACCTTCTACCAAACTGCTTATTCCCCAACACTCAGAAGCTAAAACTGTCCCTCAGGTGCCACTGCTGTCTTGTAGAGAAAGGAATGCACATTAGTGGGGCAAAGCAGGAAAAGCCCAAGTTGCTCCTGCTTGTGCTGCTACATTTTGGGTGTTCAGCAACTGCAGTTTCACAGGCTCCCAACAGGACTCTGACACTAGCTCCAGGCTCCCACCTCTACAAAAAATATATACTAGAGAAACATGGCCGGCTCTGTGGGAACTGCTGACAGATAGAGATGCAAAAAATAATTTGTTATCTGCACAGGAATGATCAAGAGATTTATAGCAAGACAGACTAAGTGAGTTGGCTTGGGCAAAAAATAAAAATCGCATGTTAAAACTGCTAGTTATTACTTCTTTTCATCAAACTAACTGGAAAAGGGACACTTTTACAAGTACTTTCAAGCAATTCATTGGCCAAATGCTTAGAATAAAAGTGGAATTGCTTCCTACAACACATAGGGTCTGCAAGAATGAGAGATATTTTAATGGTGAAAATGAGGTTATTCCCAACCAAGACAAGTAAGGAACAAAGGAAGATTCCAAAGACGGACTCTTCTTTTATTCAACCTCCAGCACATGGGGAAGGAAGCAGAAGATTTCCTTGTCATGGCCCATTATCCTTCCCCTCTGCTCAGCGCTGGTGCCCCCCTGCAGCACCATGTCCACCTCCAGGCTCCCCAAGGCAAGAGGATATGGAGCTACTGGAGCAAGGCCAGAGAGGGCTACTATGGGATTTGAGCATCTCTCCTACGAGAACGGGCTGAGAGAGCTGGGCCTTTCAGCCTGGAGAAGGAAAGCCTGAGGAGGGATTTTACCAATGTGTGTAAATGGGTGTCAAGAGGATGGGGCCATACTCTTCTTAGAGGTGCCCCATGGCAGGACAAGAGGCAACAGGCACAAACTGAAGCACAGGAAGTTCCAACTGAACATGAGGAAAAACTTCTTGACTAGCAGGGTAACAGAGCACTGGCACTAGCTGCCCAGAGGGGCTGTGGAGACTCCATCCTCATAGACGCTCAAAAGCCAATTGGACAGGGGCCTGGACAATGTGCTCTAAGTGACCCTGCTTGAGCAGGGGGTTGGATTAGATGATCTCCAGAGGTCCCTTCCAACCTCAACCATTCAGTGATTATCAGAATTAGGTAGCACATTGTGGAGGCTCGTTCAAAGACAATAGTACCTTGTTAGCAGATAGTTAACCACAAGGATGTCAGTCTCCTCAGCAGATGGGGGACAGAGCCGAAAAAGGAGGAGGACTGTAAAACACCTCCCCCTGCCCCGTATGAGAAATGTCTTGTCAGAAGAAAACAAACAAAGCCAGGACAACTGTGCAGGTGGCAAGATGCTGATTGGTTGTAAGCTTTGCAACACTTGTGTTAAGAAAGTATAAAAAGAAGTTGGTTTGAAAATAAAGTTGTCTCACTGCACCCCAGACTGAGTCCCTTTCTTCACAAGGTGCAACAGCACATCAAACAAAACGTCACAGATAAGAAAGATTGCAACTTCCCTACCCTACTGAAGAGATGTCAAGCTTTCACATAATCTATACACCAAAAATACAAATAAAGTGTCCCTGAATTACACATAGAAGTGACTTCCTGCAGAGCAACAAACTGGTGCCCATATCATCACTGGAGCTTACAGAAGGAGCTAGCACAAAGAGCTAGCTAGCATGTGCTGGAATTAGAGGCTAACATGAAGTACGCTGATGCTATGATAAGAAAGGAGCTTATAAAAACACAAAGCAAGTATTATTCATAAGAGCATGAAGCAGATCATCCATACTCAATCATTAGTGTATGACCACTCGTGGATCATAATAGGAAGAAAAAAAAAACAGCAGCATGGCTATTTCTTGTGATTAAAGACATAATAGCTACAGGATCTGGAGGCTCCTGCTGCTCTTTACTACTTTTCTCAATACCAACTTTTGTGATCAAGATAAATGCGCTCTGATGTTATACAATAACCTCTCTCGCCTTATTAAATTGCCAGGGAAGAGAAAAGGTTGTTTTCTTGCCGTGCCACCTGCTTAGGTGTGCTCTGTTCCGATTTATAAGTTCTGACTAGACCTCCCAAATGCTCAGATTTGCATTTTTTGCCTAAGTGAGCTGGTAAAAATAGATCGTCCAGACTAGTGATCATCTTTTGGGCCCCAGGTGACTTCCCCTTCTCAGTTCCAGCGCTTGTACTAGCAAAAGCTGAGGGAAACAATTGTGAGAAGTCAACATTCATTTCCAACATACTGTCTCCTCTTTCCAAAAGAGGGATATTAAGACATCTAAGCTGGATCAGACTAGGGTTTTCAGGTATGTGGAACAACTTGCCATGCTATTCAATCATCACCCCCTAAGTCTTCCATGGCTAGACAGAGATTTGCCAATCCAAACACAGAGAGGAAAACATACAATTCACTGCTCTGGTTAAGTGGAGAACCACTCAACCTATTTTGCTAACCTTCTGGGAACATATTTCATCCTAGACTCAAGA